ATTTTTATGCTCTCCCAAAGCTTACATCTGCAGGGCTTCATAGTTAGAGAGAGAGCCTCAGTTGGCTATATAAATCTAAGCTACTTTGAGCATAAGCACAGGAAGGTGCAGAAACACCACACTCTCTTTGATACTAATTTTAGATTTGTTTGCCTTCCTTCCTTCCCGACTCTCCTGCCTAGGAGGCCATCCTTTACTGTCAGTTGTATTTTGACTACGACTTGCACGCCATCACCTTTTCATGTTTTGTCATCAGGGAACAATCAGCAAACCCACGCAGGAGCATCAAAGGCATCTCTACAGGAAGGCCTAACTCATACAGTGACCCGTTTCCTGCTTCTGGCTACCAATTGGCTAAAGAAACCAAAGGCTTTGCGGCAGAGCGTAAGTGGGTCACACAAAGGTCACAGGAAGGGCAGCAGCTAAGATAGTCAGGGAATTATTGTATTAGCTGTTGAACCTTGAAAGCCAGCCTGGAGGGCCACAAGTTCCCTATAAGTGTATGCCTCTCTTCAACCAATATAACAGGTGAGAAAACTGCACCGCTGCAATGGGTTCTATCTATATGATGCATAGTATGTGCTTCAAATGACACTGTCTCCAAAACTCTTGTCTGTTTGTCCAATTCAATGCCGCTGGTACAAAACATGAAGCAAGCTTAGCCCTAAATGTGCTTGCAGCATGTACTCCAGCTTGCCCCAGTGACATATCCGTGTCCATGATTTTCCATCGTGTGCAGGTCACAAGCAATGAAAGATATAGGTGGCTCACCTTCACATACACACACATGTCCCCTAAATTCTATGGTAGCTATTGAAAAACAGCACATTCTGAGGGCCAAGGCAGTCCCTTACTTGACTTATCCTTCTCCCCTGTCCACTTCCCTCTCAGAATGAATTGTGACCTCCTAAGTCCCTTTAACTGACCGTCCATCATATGAGCCTTATCTGCAGGGCCGGCCCACCCATGAGGCAAGGTGAGGAAGGTTGCTATTTGGAGATCCACCTCAGGTGCCAAAATGTATTGGGCTGGCCCTGCTTATCATGGGGAAAGGACTAGAACATGGGTAGGCAAATTAAGGCCCGGGGGCCGGATGCAGCCCAATTGCCTTCTAAATCCAGCCCATAGCTGTCAACTTACAGATTTGAAAATAAGGGACCAGCAGCCTCAAAAATAAGGGATCAGCAGCCAAAATAAGGGATTTTTCGCACACAGGTATGTTCAACTTCTGAGCCCCTCTGAGCCAAAGGCAGAAAGCCCAGCCAGCAGCCAAACAAAGCCTCAAGCGGTGGTTCCCACAGCACAGCAACCCGGCAAGGGAAACCACCATCCCCTCTCTGCTGGGAAGCACTGAGCAAAGGCGAGTACCCAGGCAACACGGCCGATTTGATTGGCACAAGGCATGCAAACTCCCCCCCCCCCGTCGTTCTTAGACTCCTTATTGGGTGAGCAACGCAGCCAGGCAACACAGTTGGAGCCTCCCTCCTCCCTGGCCGGCAGGGAGGGAGGAAGAGGAGCTGCTTCCTTTGAAACCCAGGAAATTTAAGGGACATCATCAATAAGGGACAGCAACGGGACACAGCGCTGGGATAAGGGACTTTCCCACCAAATAAGGGACAGTTGACAGCTATGATCCAGCCCGCGGACGGTCCAGGAGTCAGCGTGTTTTTACCTGAGTAGAATGTATCCTTTTATTTAAAATGCATCTCTGTGGGGCATAGGAATTCGTTTAGTTTTGTTTTTCAAAATATGGTCCAGCCCCCCCCAAAAAAGGTCTGAGGGACAGTGGACCGGCCCCCTGCTGAAAAAGTTTGCTGACCCCTGGACTAGAACATACCTTCTGACATTTCTTTGATGAAAATAGGGACATCACATTCCATAATGATAATTTTACCATTTATACCCCACACATTTTACTGGGTTGCCCCAGCCACTCTGGGCATTTTCCAACATATATCAAAACATAATAAAACAGTAAACATTTAAAAAACTTCCCTATACAGGATTGCCTTCAGATGGCTCAGGGGTTGGATAACTCCATACCCTCCAACATTTCCCCAATTAAAATAGGGACATCCTAAGGAAAAGTGGGACATTCTGGGATCAAATCAGAAACCAGGATGACTTCTCTAAATCAGGGGTGTCACTGGAAAATAGGGACACTTGGAGGGTCTGCTAGAACAAAGCAAATTCCAAAGCAATGTGTGGGTTGCACAACGCATACTTGCCCCCCTGCCAGTGCCAGCCTCTTTTCAGCTCCTGTTTCCACATGCCACAATACCTGCTTGACAGGTACCAGATGCAATGGAGCTGGAATTTCTGCCTGGGCTCTGTTGTAATAAACCAGAGAGAACAGCTGTGCTTTTAAACATCACCCCTTCATTTCTAAAGAACTTGCGTATGAGAAACTCCTCAGGGGGCATGGTTATTGCCTAAGGATAGTTAATAAGTAGTTAAATATGCTGAAACACAAGCTGGGGGGGGGAGAAATAAGAGGGTACATCCCCATCCCCCCCTGTTTCTTAAAATTTAACTTAATGTGCAGCCTGTTCTATCCTGAAGTTGTGGACTGGATAACCATAGATGAGCAAAACAAAATATACTGTATGCAATAGAAAGCCGAACGACTAAAGACTTAACCAGATGCAAAAGTACTAATAACTCTTGTTCAAAGTGGAGAGGTATTCATACTAAATGGGACTAGAATATTAAATCACTGAAAACGTTCTTGTTTGTAACCAAAGGTGGTTCCAATTGCTGAACAAAACATGTTACAAATAAACAGTGATTTGGCAATGTCTTTCAATTGCACCATCAAGCAAGCCATTTTCAATTTACTCCCTTTTACTTGGCTGTTTTTCATCTGCATTTTACTACTTACTTTATGACTTTTCTAATGTGACAATTTAAATATTTCTCCGTGGGATGCTTCCATTCATCATTCTGCAACTTACTGAATTTGCGCTGAAAGAGGAAAGGAAAAAAGGCAGTGAACTTTAGAGAGAAGAGTTGCTTGAGTCATTCAGACTGCTTTGCTATATTTCAATAATAGATTAAATTATAAATTTTATCTCATTTGGTTTACTAATCTCATGCTAATAGCCGGTCTGTAGTTAAATATAGTCTTTTATTTATTTTATCTGGTTATTAATTTTTAACTCAGCTAGATGTTCTACATCTTTTGGAGTGAATTCTGATTGTGAGACTTGCAAGTGCTTTATATATAGATTAATGTAGCGTAATATCATACTCATCTTCAAATCTGTTTAACTATACCTTCATTCATTTCATAGTTTAACTGTGCATCTATCAAACTGAAGTAATTCAGTTAATAAATATTAGTAGTCACAACATGCTTATCCCCTAACATGTGTGTGTATGTGTAAAAGAAGTTGTGGAAGGGGAAACCTGGGACTGGGACCATGGCACACACTTTGCTGTTTCAAAGGCAAATGGGAGCATGGAGTAACGTTCAGTGGGAAATTGTGCAGAGGAAAGAGTCAGACCCCATCTCCCAGGAACACTGCAGTCCTGATCCAATTGGGCTCCACCATGGCTGGTATTCATTAAATTACCTGAGAATAAGCACCACTGAATTTACTAGGACTTATTTCAGGATTGCAAGAGGGGGACTTTGGTTTTTCAAATTTCAGCAGCACCCTGTGCACACACACACCACCTTCTATTCTGCTCAATTCACTATGTCCTAGTTGCAATGCTCTGTGGCGCCCCCTAGGGTCAGCACCCAGTGCAGTGGAACCAGTCACACTGCCCTAAAACCACCTATGGGGTAATTCACTGGGGAGTTTTGCGTGAACAAGGTCAAAATTGCTCCACACTGACCTTAACTATGTACTAATGAACAAATTTAGGATCTGCCTGTGGTTTATTTTAATTCAGTCTAGTATAACCTTTGTAAGGTACTAAACAACAAACTGGACGACTGAATCACCCTTGTTTACAATTTGGGACAAAATAAAAAAGACCCTGTCTTTTTAATCTCTGTGAAGGTGGGAAAATATATTTGGAAGCGACTTCTTTTCAGGCTGGCTTAGAAGGTTTATTGCAATGCAATTTACACAGTTGGACAGGTCTACAGGTGGCTCAAAATGCATTAGAGAAAGTGACTTGACTTCTGCAGGGGGGGAAGAGACAGGAAGTCTCTCTGGGATTGAGGTTGTGCCAGGCATTAACACAGCTGACTGGATAGCAGGTGGCTGCAAGTATAAATTTCATGCTAACATATTCATTAGAGCTCCCTTGCCTCTGTCTTCCTGGAATTGTAAAGTGCTGCTGATATCACCCTAAGCAAGCCCGTGCAAGGACACACTGCTTTTCTCAGAACAGAGGGGAAAGCAAGCCCAGATGAATATGAAAAGAATGAACACTTCCACGGTCCTCATCCCTTTTTCGTCACCTCTGCAGAACATCGCTTTAGGGTGAGACTTTCAAATGCTGCTTAATAAGGGAGTTAGGTATGCAAACCTGATTCCATTCGGAGCTGAAATGGTTTGGAATATCTCAGCCTCAATTAATTTATTTATAAGAACCCAGAAGGTGTGACTGTGTTCTGCTAACTAGCCAATCTCTTCAAATACCAATTTATAAACCCAAACACCCAAAAGGCTTAAGAGACATACTTTCTGTAAGGGTTTATTAAAAAGAAAGGGGGGAAAGATGAATATATCAGCGATGTTTGCTTTTAATTTGTTTTTGTTTTTTCATTAATAAATAAACATATTCCATAAATGTGCTGAATAAAACAAAAGCAGAAAACACACTTCAAGAACAGTGGCAGGAAAAAATTGAACTGATGCCCGAAGCATAAGGTTTCTCTCCCCCACCCTGTAAGCTACACAAGACAGCATCATAAATCTTCCTTTTGACCTAGTTTAGCATATGCTACCTTCCTTGCTAAAATATTCACACACAATTAAATATCCATGGGAAGGCAGGAAAGAGACAAGAATGTGGGATGCCAGGGCTAGAGGAATCCATAAGGAAGACTGTAGCTCAGTGGTAGTGCATCTGTCTTGCATGCAGAAGGTTCCAGGTTCAATCCCCAGGGTCTCCCGATGGGGCTGAGAATATCTGCTGTCTGAAATTGCTCTGAAATACTGGAAATTTGCTGCCAGTCAGTGTTGGCAGTATTGGGCTAGATGGACCAATGATCTGACTCAGCACAAAACATTTTCATATGAGCAATCCACCACACTGAACAAGCTACCATCTCTGTCACCCTGAATTTAAGCAGGAGGCAGCCTCTTAAATGGAATAATTTGATGCAAGAGAGGTAGGACAAAGTCACAACCTCAATTTACATGTTCTGCCTTAACATATAACGTCTTAACTGGGTCAAATTACTGGTCCAACTAGCCTAGGACTGTCTGCATTGGTCTATAGCTTTCAGTGTCTCAGCCAGAGGACTCCCCTCACCCCAGTTCTACTCAGATCCTTCCACTAGATATCCAGGGATGGCTTATTCATGCTTTGGTGACATCCAGGCTAGTGCACAAGCTCTCTGTGTTGGGCAGCCGTTGAAAATGGTTGAGAAGCTTTATCTAGTGCCGAAGGCAGTAACCCACGTGTTGATTAGTCCAAATGGATTTTCCACTATGGAATTGGCTCTCAAAGAAGGAGGCAGTGATGGCAACCAGGTTGGATGAACAGACATATTCATATCAATGTATACCAGCCATGATTGGTCCTGTTTGTCAATTTCCCACAGGCATCTGGTTGGTCACTGTGAGAAGGGGATGCTGGACTAGAAGAGCAATCGGCCTCATCTGCTTATGTTCTCATATCTTGCTTCTCTTGAAGCAGCTGCACTTCTGGGCCATAAGAAGAGCTCTACTGGACAGGACTGAATGCCCACCTGGTCTTTCCATAGCAACCAACCAGGTGCCTACAAGAAGTCCACAAGCAGGAAATGAGTACAAAGCACTCTGTCTCTCTTTATGCTTCCCAGCAACTGGTCCAAAATTGCTGTTTCAATCTTTAAACCCGCTCAATATCTTGGGTTTTGGTTTTTTCATGGGACATTTCATCTCATATAAGATCCCAGCCCTAAATCCCTTGAGGTGGCCCTGCCCAAGGTTCCATTTTATGTAGAGACCAGGGCAGTCTCTATAAGGAGCAAAGCCTTCTCTGTGGTGGCCTTTAATACTGTGGCACTTCCTTTCAAGAGAGGTTCATTCTGCCTCCCTCTTAATGTTTTTTGCAAAGTGGAGGTGCATTCTTTTTTGTTCTGATTGCTTCTTGTTCTTGTTCCATTGACTGAGCTGTCTTTACTGCTGTTTTACTATCATTGCTGTTTTATTGAAATTGTCTTGTGATTGGAATTGATTTGTGCTCTTTTATTGGATATTGTTTTTATTCTTCAAACTGCTGTGACATTTTATGATCACGTTACATTTTGAGGAAGGGCCATAGCTCAGTGATAGAGCATTTGTTTTGCAAAGACAGCTTCCTACATTCCTATATATCCAGTCAGGGGCTGAGGATCATTCTTACAAATGATTCCCAAAATGGAACTAGTAATATATGGGGGGAAATGGGCATTAATACAGAGGAGCCAAGTGTGAACACTCAGAAAACCCACTTCGACGTCTGGCCTCTTCAGTTTCTCACACAGCAGCTCCCTACACCAAAACTATTTCCTTTTCTTTCTTTCTTTTTCATTAAAAGAAAGGCTGAGAACTATGGCAGGGAGCAATAAGGCAAATCCAAGTTCACATGCTGACATCTTCCACTCATGCATTGCAGCAAAACTAAACACCTGCATGCCTTTTCATGCCATATACTCATATTTAATGGAATTATGAAGATTTTGTTGTTGTTTAAACAGAGGAATAATCTTAATCAAATAAATACATAATTGATTTCACACGTTTGGAATGAGTGAGAACTGGACAGTGGAAAACTGACTTCTGTAACCGCTCAAATCCCCATGAAATTTTTTTTTATATGTCACATATGCAAGAAGCAACCTGATCTTGAATGTCATCTGTTGTGAATTATACATGCAATTATGGTAAAATCTATACCAGATCGCATGTTATTCCTTAGGATTATGGTTCAATCGTTATTAAAAACTTTTAAGCACTTTCAGTTGGCAGATTTATGAAGTCCTTCATTCGGAGGCCACATTCTACAAGTCTGAGGTTCCCATCGCTTAGTTAGTCTTCTGGTATGGAGAAACACAGGGAGATTATAATTGGACATCTCACTGAAATCTCTTAGTAGAGTAACATTTGACTGTATTCTGGAGAACCCTGGTGTTTCTCAAAAACTTACTGGGAGTACGTCAAAGAAAGCATCAGTAATGACAACAACCCAAGGAAGTATTGAATATTATTGTTGCTGTTTTAAAAATATGACCTGCCCTTCATCAGCAGGCCCCAGGGTGGGTTACAACAATTTAAAATACAGAGTTGAAAACAGAGTGCAGTCGTTGGGAATATGGTGGGCCCTGAAACCATACATCTCACATGTCAAAGGCCAGAAAATATGCTTTTAGGTCACCGACTGGTAAGTCAGGACCTACTATTGGGTTGTGGCCTGATCCAAGGTAGGTTGCAACAGGAGTACTACCACCACACAAATATATGGCAAAAGATTAAGAAACAGTTCCCAAATGTATGTTTGGGTTAAAAGTGGGTCCTGGGTCCAAAAACATTGAAGATACCTGTTCTAGGACACAACTCTGTCAATCACAAACTAGATGTGACTGGGGCAGCTCTGTTTTGTTTTGTTTTCTTCTTCATCATCATCATCATCACTTTTTACAAAATGAAGAAGCCTCAAAATGACAAGAAAATACAACAGCTGAGAAGTTAAAAATAATAATTGTTATGTATTGAAGTTCTCACCCTGGCCACCAGGGGGTATTGTGTATAGAGTTTTGACTCAGGTCCACATACGTTAATTTAGGCGGGAAACCCTGGGCTGTTGTTGTTACAGTGTTGACAGCCGGCTGCCTATAAAAGCAGGCCAGCTGAGCTGTTTGCTGTTCAGCTCAGTTCTAGCTTACTTATAAAGAAATACAGTGGTACCTCGGGTTAAGAACTTAAATCGTTCCGGAGGTCCGTTCTTAACCTGAAACTGTTCTTAACCTGAGGTACCACTTTAGCTAATGGGGCCTCCCGCTGCTGCCACACTGCTGGAGCACGATTTCTGTTCTCATCCTGAAGCAAAGTTCTTAACCCGAGGTACTATTTCTGGGTTACTGGAGTCTGTAACCTGAAGCGTATGTAACCTGAAGTGTATGTAACCCGAGGTACCATTGTACTTGGAGAAATCTCTGTGTCGTCTCCTATGTCCGTCCACTA